ATGAATCTGGCAGCCAGAACCACTACGAACACGGGTTTCTGAAGGGCATGAGTATACTGCTGTATTTAGGAACAGCTCATCAGCACAAACAATCATTGCTGCCTTGCGCCAATTCCTCTCATCATCGCTCTTGGGAATGGCATTCCCCTGGGCGCAAAGTTATTTCAGGCACGCCGTGTTTCACAACGCCTCAAAGCGCGTGTCAACCTGCTGGTGCTTCATGGGGAGTTGGGGGGGGAACATAGGCACTACCGTGGACGAAGGAAATCTTACGCCACCCTATGTACCTCATACCCTAAGAATCACGGAATTATTGGGAGCCCGAAGTGGTGCAATATTCCAGCCGTCCACCGTAGTTAGTAGAGGGGAGAATTAGAGGGATTGCTATACAGATCTACTTCCCAGCCTTACCTGAAAGACCCGCAGTCCCTAAACCCTAAACCCTGAACCTTGCCTCCATCGCTTTGGTCGCAGGGTCGAACTTCAGCTCGTACCTCAGAGCCAATCTGCCTTGCATTTCTTGAAACGTTGCTGGGTGCCACTAGGGAATGAAGGAATGGAAAAGAAAGCGGCACTGCTATTTAGGGTTTAGGGTTGCAAATTGAAAGAATAGGAGCGAGCATAGTTTGTGGGATTATGTGAACTACAGTCTGACTCCTAGTATCCCCCTTAATAAGCCATATCATACTCCCTTATATAATCCCCCTTTAAGGATTTTAGACTACAGCTCATGCTTCATATTCATTGCGCTCTCACAGCCTGCAAGCAAAGGCACAAATGGCAGTTTCCCAAAATTCAGGGTCTGCTGGGTTGCTGTTAAGGAACTTAAATTAAGTTACTATGTTGGGGAAACCCTATTATTTACTATATATACCCATTATGGTAACTTAAATCAGCAACCCAGTCTAGGGCTAAGGGAGCCCTAGGCCCTTGTGGGGGGTCTCCATAATGAGGAAATTATGATATCTTGGGGTCTATATTGGGGTCCCCCTATTTTGCCAAACTGCCAAGTGAAGCTATAGTCTAAGCTCCTAGTATCCCCCTTAATAAGCCCTATAATACTCCCCTATAGAACCCCCTATATACCCTAAACCCTATATAACCCCAATATACTACAGTAGTTTCCATTTTCTTTTCCATTATCCCTATATAACCCCATATAATATTATAGCCCAAATGAAGCCTGAGGTTTGAGCTTTCCAAACTTCTTCCAGTCAATCCTTGGCCAGAACACAACTACCAACTGTGCGGTCATGCAGGGACAATAAACCGTCTGGGAGGATAAACAACCCTAAACCCTAGACTCTAGACCCTAAGACTCTTAAACCCTAAACCCTTCAACCCTCAACCCTTCAAGCCGAAACCCCTAAACCCTTAACCCCTAAACCCCTAAACCCCTAGAACCCCTAGCCCCTAAAACCCTCTACACCCCTAAATCCTAAAACTCAAACCTGGCTGCCCTGAGGGAGGCCAAGTCTCTTCACCATGTCTCCGTCCAATTCCCACCTTTCTCAGAACTATAGGGGTTATATACGGGTTATATAAGGGTTTAGGGTTTAGGGTTTAGGGTTGGGTTATCAGGGTTATAAAATGTTATATAGGGGTATATAGGGTTGTATAGGCATTATATAGGGTCATTTAGGTGTTATAAAAGTATAATGGAAAAGAACATGGAAACTACTTTAGTATAATGGGGTTATATAGGGTGTAGGGTTGAAGGTTGAGGGTTGCAGCAGGCAGTTTACCCTGGATGAAAAAGAACGTGGTAATGGGCTATAGAGGGACTACTTTAAGGATCTATTCCTTAATACCTAGCTAACCAAAGGCAAGTAAATTCAGTTACCATGATATGCATACATGGTAGTTGATAGGGTTTCCTGCTAAAGGAAGCAAAATTTTCGATGCTTCAAAGCAGCCCGGACTGGTGGCTAGAAGGGAATGAAGCAATGCGCTGTAAGCTGGGTCAATGCCCCACCCAGTAATGGGTACCACAAAAAAAAACTGTACTATTGTAGGTCTATCTAAGCCCTGTAAGCAAGCCCTGTAAGCTCTATATCAAGGAGCTATGGCTATAGAGGGGATTGACCTAAGCCATAAGGACGAATATGGAAGAAAGATTCAGGAAGGACTGCTACTGGGAGGGTTCTCCGTTCCCTGCTCACCAGTAGTAAAGCGGACCCTGCTCCCTAGACCCTAAACCCTAATCCCTGAACTGACACCTAATCCCTAAACCCTAAGCCCTACTCCCCAAACCCTAACCCCTAAGCCCTAAACCCTTAACCCTACTCCCCAAACCCTGACCCCTAAGCCCTAAACCCTTTTCCCTAAACCCTGCCAGATACTGACCAGGCCTCGCAGGCGCTTGGAACTTGGGACAGAAAAAATTCCCAGCCTGAGCATTCCAACTCTTCAACTGGTGAACTGGGTTGCTGATCTAAGGGGGTATATAGGGGTTAGAGTTTAGGGTTTAGGGTTTAGGGTTGAGGGTAATGTTGGGACAGTAGGTGCCAATAATGGAGAATCAAATGGAAAAGAACATGGAAAATGAAATGGAAACTGGGATTATAGGGTAGATTTTCCTTGGAGGCCCAAGGGACTTAGTAAGTACTTATAACTGGGCTTATAACCCTACGTACTTATATTGGGGTAACCTACATAACCACATTTAGGGGGAGTATAAGTAGGGTCATCAGCCCAGATATGAGTAGTTACTAAGTAAATCCCATGAACCTCCAAGTCGGGTTTAGGAACTCAAGCCCCCTTAAGGGGGCTATAAGGGTTATATAGGNNTATAGAGATTAGGATTATGTAGGGGTTGCATAGGGATTCTATAGGTTACGTAGGGAATTTATAGGGGTTATATACGTTTAAGGACTCTGATGCGGAGTCAAATGGACACTTAACCGGAGACTAGGGTATTACATAGGGTTTCATATAGACTTCCCATCTTGTGGAGACAGAGAGAGCGAGAGAGAG